TGCTAAAGCGGATACTTCCGAGAACTGTAATATTAAACTGCACTGCTATCCACAGTTTTCGAATCATTTTTTTTTTTTAGCTGAAATTAATTTTTTCTTTTTTCCTCTTATCCTTTTGGGGAGGGGGATAAGCAAATTTTGGTAAAAATGCTTACACAGTAAGACATTTTTGCAGATTGCTGAGGGCAGGGAGGATAGAGAGCTTAACAATAATCACCGTCTTGTTCTTTTGTTTAAAGCAGAATGAACTGACCCACACATACATAGCAAGATCACAGATTATTTAACATGGGTATGCAAAAACAAAACTGCAAAATTGCGAAACTGCAGTTGGCAAAGCATGATTTGCTTTAAGCATTAAAAGAATCTGTATTTGTTCTTCCTTTGAAAAGAAAAATATTGGCCAAGAATGAAGACGGTCATCAGAAAATGAGATGTTAATGGCAAGAAACCAATGCAGAATAAATAAAAACAGATCAGTGTCACGAATACTAAGGAAAGCATAAAACGGTGTGTTAGTGCTCACGATCTGGAGAAGACAGCACCTGCTCCCTAGGGCTGAGCAGTTATATCCAGTTATAGCCAGTCAGCATCAGGTAGCCCTAAATGAGCTATGCCAGGACTGTCTGCTTTCAGTTCCTCAAATGTGACAAGCTCTTCCATACATCCCGGCCCCTCTGTCTAGCTGACACTTTCCGCCAGTAGTTTATCATCTTTGTGCTGTTCAAGCTTAAGGTCTTAGCTTTCTTCACTCCACAGATGAATTAAGTATCTCTCTCCCTTTACTTATGACCTACCCAAGCACCTTATCATCTCCCTCCATGGCACTTCAAACACTCTGGTTATAGATTATGTGTATATAAACATTATATTAATATATCACACGTATGTATGTACGTTATACATATAACTATAAGGTCTCTTCTTTCTAGCAGGCTGTAAATCCCTTAAGAACAGAGACTGTATCTGTTTTACACAATTACAGCCAAGGTCTTGGACAGTGCCTGGTACAAAAGTAGGCACACTCTACGGACTAACGTGCATCCATAACTCCATCTTTGTTTGCCGTCACTTCACATCTGCAGAGCCCCCATGAGACAAGACCCTTCCTATCTGCTATGCTAACTCACAGAACCTTAACAGTAAATAATAGAGGTTCCCCTACTGACCTGTAAAAACCACTGGAGAATGGGAAAATGGAAACAAGCTGTAAAGTGAAGTATTCTGGACTTCACTGGGGATGGGAGGTGTTAGTGCAATCAGTCAGTTCTCAGACCAGTAACCTGCCAGACTTCCTTTGGATTCCAGAGAGCTGCTTGACTGTTTCTCTTCTACTGACATTAACTCTTACCTTGAGTAGTTTCTCTTTTCCTTTAGAAAAGTAAAACCGAATGCCAATTTATAGTTTCTGCCTTTATCTCTGTGGAAGTCAGCCTCCGTGACACCCTCCACTTATGCTTGCCTCCTAGTATTCACGTCTCTTGAGTAGCGGCCCCCCCCCCCCCCCCCCCCCAGTTGAGTAGGGCTGACCTATGTCACTGGTAGGATGCCATGGAAGTGACGGTGTAAGACTTCTGAAGTTAGGTCATAGAAGACCCTGAACATTAACCTCAAGTCTGGATCTTTGCTCAGGAAGGGGATGGGGAGGGGGGCATCCAGAAAATATATTGTGAGGACACACCATGGAAAGCTCAACATGGTGAGTAACTGAGTTCTCCTACCAACGGCCCATACTAACTTGCCAGCCACATGAGTGAGTCACCTTGGAAAAGGAACATCCGGCCCCAGTCAAGCCTTCACATGACTGCTACCTCATGAAATCCTCAGCCAGAACCAAGCAGCTAAACTGCTCCTGAATTCTAACCTACAGAAATTGTGGAGCCAATAAATGTTTATTGTTGTTTTAAGCTGCTAAACTTAGGAGTAATTTGTTATACAGCAATACATAACAGTAAAATCTCTTATCACTTAAGTTCATGTGAAAAATTTTCTAGAAGCTTTCATCATTAATAGAAAGGTAAACAAGAAATTCATTAAAAAATTTACACTGCAACTCCCTTTCCATTAGATCCCATAAGGAAGACAAAGCACATGGCTGACCTTTGAAAACATTTAAAAAGGATAAAGTAAGATTAATTCTATTTTTTGAAAAAAAAAAAAAAAAAAAAGACTGTATTAAACTTGTATTAAACAGTGGACAGAGTTTTCTGAAAAGGAATGAAAAGATGAGATGGAAGAGACGGGACACAGGCTGCAGTGCTGCCCTGAAGACAAGGACTGGACAAACGGGGGAAGTCCACAGATTGGTTTCTTCTGTTCTGCCACAACCTTGCTTTAGCAGATTTTACCGAGGTCCCGCCCAGAAAAAACATGCATTGATCAGAGTACCAGGAGGAAGATACATGACAGGATGTCCCAGAAGGCAGTGAAGTCTGTACTAGTAAGACAAGAAGAGTCTTTCAGTAGTAGCTGTGGTGCATCAGGACCGTTTTGATAGCCATTTGATGGCAGTATGCAAAAGTACCGGTCTTCTTTCTTTCTCTATAGAGGTATCTCTCAATGTTTTTATTTATTTATTTTTTTCTTTTCTTTCCTACCATAATAAATGTAGGATACAAAACACTCCCAATTAGAGAGTTGTGAGGTGCCTGGGTGGCTCAGTTAGTTACACCTCTGACTCTTGATTTCAGCTCAGGTCATGATCTCATGGTTGGTGGGACTGACCTCCACGTCAGGCTCTTGGGAGCCTGCTTGGGATTCTCTCTCTCCCTGTCTTTCTGCCCCTCCCCTGCTCACTCTCTCTCTTGAAATAAATAAATAAACATCAAAAAAAAAAAAAAAAAGGAACAGAGATTTGTTACCATAATTCCTAAAGGTGGTACTGAGCACATTTTCCCCTTCCCATTCTAACAAAGAATTTTGCCTTCACTTGAGATTTGTTTTTTAATTATTAAATTCCTCTTGGTCTTATGCTGCTTCCATTTTCTTTTTCAAAGTCTTCTCCAGTTTTATTATAACATAGACTTTAGAAAAAAAGAAAACTTGAAATGAGAATGGTTTCTCTTAACATTTTTAAAAGGCCTTTTTAGGGGCGCCTGGGTGGCGCAGTCGGTCAAGCTTCCGACTTCAGCCAGGTCACGATCTCGCGGTCCGTGAGTTCGAGCCCCGCGTCAGACTCTGGGCTGATGGCTCAGAGCCTGGAGCCTGTTTCCGATTCTGTGTCTCCCTCTCTCTCTGCCCCTCCCCCATTCATGCTCTGTCTCTCTCTGTCCCAAATAAATAAATAAATGTTGGAAAAAAAAAATTAAAAAAAAAAAAAAAGGCCTTTTTAAAGACGACTGGGAGAAATGACAATGAAAACCTTTTCATTATTTGCTGGTAACAGCTGATGATGACTTTATCTTACATTAGAATTTCTAAGAGTTTTATTTCTACATAAACCAAAGAAATAAAGAGAGGGAACTTCTTCGTAGTCATAAACTACTGGATTCTATTATCAAACAGTGGATAGAAGACAGATGCCACTGGAACTGTCAGCATAACAGTGAAAGAGAAAAAGATCCCATATACAGATACTCGGAAAGCTAGACTGGGTTTTGGTTAGAAACAGCTCCCTCCACCCAACCCTCCCACCCCCACCCCCCGCCAAAAAAAACCCCAAAATCCCAAAGTATAATAATCTTTATTAGTTTCTGAGGAGGAGAATTACCATCCCCACACATTGCTAACAATCACTAACGATGATCCCTTTAACTTCTTAAGCCCCTTAAAAATAAGGGAATTAGACAAGAAACTAACAAAATCCAGAAACAGAACAAACCGTTTGGATAACTGACCAGTATTGCCAACACAGCCTCAAGCCACCACCTTGCTGCCGACACTGAAGTGCTACAGTTTTGGGTTAAAATCTTATAAGGGAATTCTTATTTGGCTTTATAGAATTAAAAATATGGACAAATTACCAAGTAACACATGGTTTTGATTCAGAGAGCCAGAACTAACCAGTTAAGCTGCTCCTGAATCCCGACCCGTAGAACTCTGTGAGGTAATATTTATTGTTGTTTAAGCTGCTAAATTGTGGAATAATTTATTATGCAGCAATAAATGACATATCTCTTATCACCCAAGTGCACACAGTTTGCTAGATGTTCACTGTTACTACTGAAAGGCAAGGAGATATATTGCACAAAGAAATGTAAAATAATAAGTAAGGTACAGACAAATAAAAACAAGTATGTTAATGGAATATCTTCAGATACAGTTAACAGTAAGGCTGATACTGTGGGATCAGTGGGGCTCTTTTTCCTAATTCGCCCCAACTTGTATGAAACCTCAGAGAAGCTCCCGTAAAATATCCCCTTTCAAAATCCTATGATGGTAGAAGAAAAATGGGGAAAGGACAATTTTAGGTTGGAATCACTGTGAACTGTAAATACAAATATTCCAAGGCATTTTTTTTTATTTCTGCATTTGATAGAATTTTGGAAAAGTTACTTCATAATTTTTTTTTCAAGTGTGTGGGCTGAAGCTAATACGGTGCATGCAGATTTATTTATGTATTTATTCTTCATTCATTTTCATTTGTGTTTAAAGTAGGCTCCACACCCAGCGTGGAGCCCAGTGCAGGGCTTGAACTCACGACCCTGAGATCAAGACCTGAACTGAGATCAAGAGTCCGACACTTAACCCAGTGACCTACCCAAGTGCCCCTGAACTAAACAATTTTAGATCCTTTCTTCGACCTCTGGTAAACTGCAAGATATCTCTAAACAGTGGCTGTTTGTTAAATAACAAGAGACACAGGTTTACATTTCTCTCTGCATAAATCAGCAGGTATCTATATAAGCTACAAAGGAAAAAGTATGACATTTCACAAAGGTTTTTATTAACAAACATAGTACAATTTTATAGATAACGTAAGTGCTACTTAGTGCTCATTTTCCTACATAAAATGGTGAGACAAAGCGGTGGGTGATACAAGAAAAGAAAAAGCCACCTACCCTTAAGAGGATCATGCTCTGCTCTCATAATATCAATAAGGGAATTTTCCAAAGAGTGCATATTCAAACTGTCATACATTCTACTTCGATCCTAGAAGAAGAGAAAAAAATAGACTCAATATGATCTGTACAAGTTTTCAAAAACTGATGATAAATATACCATACCATCTAAACCTTCTTACATAAAAGAGGACATCTGATTAATATATTACTTATCAGTCTGCATCCCAAGACAGTATCAGTAGCTAAAGATCTCATGAGCTATAATATCTCTTGTATTGGAGAGAATGCTACATTTAAGATCTCCAAAATCACATACCAAAAATAATCTTATTTCACTGGCAGCATTAATACAGTAAAATAATTGCTACTGTTATCACTCTCAACTTAAAAAGATTTGTGAAATGTTATACACGTAGGAAGCAGTTTTAGTTGTTATTTAACTTCTATACTTTTCTCATATATCCAGGAAGACACTGGCACTTGAAAAATAAATATTTTGGGGAAAGGAATTAATCCCATAATGGCACCACACTTTAAATATCTATCAAACGGGGTACACATTATTTGACTTGGTCAGAATTTCACAACAATAAATGCATAAACATCTCATACCATAAAAATCAAAAGAATGAAAGTATTAATATCAGAACAAAGACTAACACCTAGAATACTTATATTCAAATCTTGCTCTCTGAAGTTCTCACATGTTGGTCTCTGCATTTCTAAATCTGCTTTCCCTCCAAACCCTGCAAAAAAGGCAGGGGGTGGAGGGAGGAAAAGGATGACAATATTCCCACCTTCCAAGTTTCCTGCCTCATCAAGTCCCAGAACAAAGTCTTTTGTGTAGCTGGGAGTCTTGTTTGCTAAATGTTAAATCTCTCAACTTGCTTCCTAGAAGGAATCTGATTCTTTAATGCTTAATGAATTTATACTGTTATTCTGCCCAACACACCCTCAATGTACTTGAACAAATACACATAGGGAACTACCACAGCAAGCTCTGGCCCATGCCCCCTAAGTCACCAAAAACAAACAAACAAACAAACAAACAAATAAAAATTTCAGTGGTGACCCCCACCCATTTAAGTGTGTGTAGGTGTTTGTATAAGTGTCTGTATATGAAGGAGAGTCAGGGCGGGCCATTTTTAACTCTCCAAAAAAAAAAAAAAAAAAAAAAAAAAAAGACTAACACAGAAAAAGGGAAGAATCAGAAAAGTAGGGGAAAAACTCTTTGCAGAAATTAGAATTAGGCATTTTTTAACCTGCATGAGCTCCAAGAAGGACCATGAAATCTCTGAGATTATGTACAATATCCTGTACGGGTGTGTACACATATTTTTTCCTGAAGAAAAGGGTTATGACTTTCATCAGTTTTCCAAAGGAGTCCACAATCTAGGGATGATTTAGAGACAGTCTTTTGGAAAGCTGAAGACAAACCTAAGAAGCTTTTGTGAAAATATGTTGATTTATTTACTCCACTTGAGGTTTAAATTAGGGTTGTGAACTTTTTAAAACTAGGGGGCCAGAATCAGTATTACAGACTAAACAAGTTGCTGTTGAGGATTTTAGAAGTGTGCAAAGTAATACTAAAGACACAATGCTAGGCCAGAGCTCTTACTCCAGCATGACCACAATACAGCTACATTGGTACTCCTTGTCTTTTACTTACTTTATTTTTTTATTAAAAAAAAATCTGTTTTAACGTTTATTTATTTTTGAGACAGAGAGAGACAGAGCATGAGCAGGGGAGGGGCAGAGAGAGAGGGAGACACAGAATCCGAAGCAGGCTCCAGGCTCTGAGCTGTCAGCACAGAGCTCCACACAGGGCTCGAACCCACTAGCGGTGAGATCATAACCTGAGCAGAGGTCAGATGCTCAACTGACTGAGCCACCCAGGCACCCCTACTTACTTTATTTTACATCATTAACATGACTTTGGTGAAGGAGGCACAGATAATCACTGAACTACAACAGCGCTTCTCACACATGAGCATATGCTTCACAATCATCTGGGACCCAGGCTGCTGGGATTCTGCTGAGACAGAGTCTGAAATTCAATAGGTTTAGAGAGGCCCCTAAGAATGTGTATTTACAGTAAGTTCTCAGGTGATACTTAGACTGCTAGTCCAGAAACCATACTTAAAGAAGTGCTGGACTTCTTGATCTTATAGTTTACTAAACCTCTTTAGGCTCTCCTCTATCTTCTAGAAAAGAAAAAAATTATTTCAGACTAGACAATGCCTAAAGTCCACCTTAATAATAGAAAAGCCACAGCAAAGCAAATAGACATATGAGAAAAGCAAAAGACTCAAAGTACTAAGTAATAAATGAAATAAAACTAGTATAGAGAAGAATATGGCCCTTGGACAAAAATTACATACAATTTTACTAATCTCTCCAAATATTTCCATCTTCTGTGCTTCCATTTTACTTTATGCATAATTAATTTGTTGATTTTCCTGCCTCACCCACTAAACTAAGCTAATTAGGGGTAAGGACCTTCTAATTATGAAATATAGCTGGCTCTCAAATATTTTTGAATGAATAGTACCCTAACTCTACTAAAAAAACTTTGCAAATTTAAGTTGAGCTCTGTGAGGGCAAAGACTACATACAGGACCATAAATCCCCCAGGAATAAGGACTCAAATGTTAACTAAGACAAGACGTATTAAAGATGTATTTAAAATAGAATTAACAGAATTAAAAAATGTAAACTATTATGATAAAAACTGTTCACATAATTAAGCAAAGAAACCTCATTAGGTATGCTGTATCGTACAGGTTCTAAGATGTATTATAAATACTTTATATTCTATTTGCCTTAAATTCTTACAAAGAAAATACGTTATGGTTTAAGGCTATCTTCTCAGGCTGATGTTTTCTTTAACAGAATCAGACTACGCCCCATCCTTAACAGACCTATGAACTTAATGGTGACTCTCACCACCACCCAAATGAGTTTTGTTTTTTGGTTTTTAGTCACACTCCAACTCCATTCAAGGAGTTTGAGTTTGATCCTGCTTTAGAGCAAAATTTAGAGTAAAATCATTGAAGTGACTCCATATGTACTCTCAATGGGCCAGGGGCAATTACTTAAGGTAAGAAGGGAAATAGCTATTCAATAAATATCAGCCATCACTAGATAGTCAACCGACAACGGTTATTCAAAAAAGCAGCACGTATTAATAGCTTTAGCTTTAATGCCTACGGTGAACTGAAATAGGGTAATGCCCACATATCAGGTCCCTATTTTCCCTTGCATTTCAAGTCTTTCATAATGAAACAAACTCCTGCTTTAGTAAAGAAAAGAAAAAAAGTCATTATACAAATATTAGCCAACTTATACTTTGGTAAGCACCTGCTGCATCCCACATGATTTTTAAAGCACCGAACACGAAATAACCTTGACCACGCAAAGAGCTCCTGACACCTCAAAATCACTTTCTAGACTTAATGAAACCTGTAGGCTCATGTCTAAAAAAATACAGGTAATTCCATTAAATAAAGTATGGGTATTAAAATATAAATTCTGGAAAAAACAACAGAAACAAATCTGACTATAAAACAAATACTCACGCATTTTTCTAAAATAAGGATATTAGAAAAATTTGTGTTCACAAAAACTGCCATTGATTTAAAAACTAAATGAAAATCCCGAAACCATTTTAAGGAAAACATAAACACACCAAAGCTGATTAGCTTACATATGAAAAATCATAGCAATGTAACTTAACCTACGTTTATTACTACATGACTATTTGAAAACAGCCAAGAAGTTTCACAAAAGTAAGAATCACTATGAGGAATCTACCTGAAATATGAAAATTATCTGGCAAAGAATCAATTTAAATGGGTTTTCATAAACTGAGATTACAGAATCCCACAACAGTGAACAGGCAAAGCTCAGAAAACACTGGAAAACTATAATCTCTTGTATTCTAATATTTTGTTATTTTCTTAAACCCAGACTTTTGGCATAAAGACTTACAGAAGCAACCATATGGTCCTAGAAAGACTGCAGGACACAGAAAAAACAAAGTAATCTAATCTCAAATCCTCATCTTAAATAGGACAATCTAAAAAAAAAAAGATTATAAATGCTGAAAAATAACTAAAGAGGTCAAGAATATTAAAACTAGTACAACAGAAAGAACTTAAACTTAATTAAAAGGGTACGTTTCAATGGGGTGTTACATTTTTACTTTGAAATATGCAAAACCCTGTCTCATTTCAAAAGACATGGTCAAGTAGAACATTTTCCTCTTGAAAATGAAATATTCTCCCAAAGAATAAGGAGATGGATTAGGGAAAAACCCTCTATTGTCATGTTTAAAGATATACCAGATGCTTTAACATATATCCTTCTGGCTAAGTAGAGAGATCCACTTTTGTTGCATTTTTGTGTTTGGTTTTCCAATTTTTGCTTTAAAATAAAACAGTAAAGTTGTTATTAATACTGTCCTCCATTTTAAGCAAACACTGATTTTACACTCCTGATGACGCAGTGCTATTGCACTGTGGTGAATGAGCAGCAGACGACATGCTACTGTCTCCCTCCACAATGTAGCATCAGGCTCCTACTCTCTCCTGTCAGTCTCTAGTTGTTCTACACAGACACCCCTTCTTCATCCAACTGGGCTTCCACCTTCTCAAAGGCAAAGAACAGAACCTCTCCCCATATAGCTCAAGGATAATTAAAACACTATCTCATACATAATGAACATAACAGTTTTTGAACTTCCTTTATGAATCTGAACCTTGACTAAGTGCCATGACAGGGACTGAAAAAAAAAAATTTTTTTTTTAATTTTTTTAAAGGCCCCAACGGCCAAAGGTACACTAGTATCCACAAGGGTTAAATGAAAAGGCTAGTAGAAATTATCTGGTATAAGAATGTATCAAGTACAGGGGCCCCTGGGTGGCTCAGCTGGTTGAGTGTCTGACTCTTGACTTCAGCTCAGGTCATGGTCTCAAGGCTTGTGTGTTTGAGCCCCGCCTAGGACTCTGCATTGACAGTGCAGAGCCTGCTTGAGATTCTCTCTCTCTGCCCTCCCAGCTCGTGGGTGTGCACAGTCTGTCACTCTCTCAAAATAAACAAATTAAGAAAAAAATGTATCAAGTGCAATTAGAGAAGTGAATGCAGGATACAAAACTTAAAAAACATCCATTACCTAAGCAGGTTACAAGAGAACCCATTCTCTCTCATTTTCAGTGTTTACAGTTTGATGACTACCAATGTCCTTAAATGAGGTTCATCACAATTAAGAACCAAAATTTAAGGAATGCTTGATTAAATGAATGAAAAATTGGACTTGGTCTGCTACTATTTATTGTTTTTGTGCAAAGTGAATAAAGATACCAAATAATATATTTTTCTGAGAGACCTCCATATTATCATCTATCATGTTGTCATAACAGTCTGGATATTAAAGATTGGTGCAAAGCATCTTCAATGAATTTAAGGTAGTTTATGTGACACACCCAAGAACTCCCATAGGAACAAAAATACAGAACTAAATATATTCATAATCCCTTAGCTAGAGGACAGGCCGACATACCATCTCATAGGCTTTATGGCTATGTTACACCTGTAAAGGTACCACGTTGCTAATTATTTAGAGAGAACTAATGTGCCATATATAAACCTCTAAGTGATAATCTCAGCTACAAGTATATTTACTTTTTGATTTAAAAAATTCAAGTATTAATGAATAAATAAACTGAAATCTCAGTATCTAATTGAAAATTCAATTTTAAGGTAATTAAAAATCACACATCTAAGTATAATTTCTTGCAAGGGTAACTAGCTAATAGCATTTTAAAGAAATTAAAGTACATATATTAATTTTATTAATTTTTTTTAACATTTATTTATTTTTGAGAGAGAGAGAGACAGAGCATGAGCAGGGGAGGGACAGAGAGAGAGGGAGACACAGAATTTGAAACAGGACCAGGCTCTGAGCTGTCAGCACAAACCCCGACGCGGGGCTCGAACTCACGGACTGTCAGATCATGACCCGAGCCAAAGTCGGACGCTTTACCGACTGAGCCATCCAGGCGCCCCACCCACATTAATTTTAAAGTCAGAAATGTGCATAAAACTTTACCCTTGTTTTTAAAAGTTCTAAATTTGAAGATTTTTCCATAAGGACATAATTACTTAAAATAAGAGAATGCCAACCAACCCTAAAAATGCTATATATAACTGAAATAAAACCAATTTTCAGAATGATTTCTTTCCCATTTACTGAATGTTAATTACATGTCCAGTTCTTGGTATAGGTAAGGCCTCAAGTATCCAGGTACAAAAATTAAGACTCTGGTTTTACAATTCAGTATATTTTATAGGCCTACTCGATTTGAGACTAAAAGAAATAAAAAGTTAAATGTTTTAAAATAATGTATTTGTTAACTGAGGTTTATTAGTATTAAGATGTTGTACGTGGTGGGGAAAAAAGTCAGAATGAAAATATTTCCCCAGATATTTAAGTGCTTAAGAATTTTCTGTAATTTTAACTTTGCCAAATAGTGAGGAACTCCCCAATGGTTTAAGATACCAATTGGAAGTTTACAGCTGTTGCTGTATTTTTAAGAACCTCAACTTCAAATACCTCAACCTTTTATGGAAAGATAGAAACAGAGAACAAATTTTATATAGTTAAGTACCTTAGGGTGCTCAAAAGAGAGAACAACATTGCTTTTCAGCCTATTTGGGAGGCCATACAGTACACCTGGACTGCCTCAGTCCAATTCCCACCCCTTCTCCCCAATAAACTAAGACCCTTGTATTCTAAAAATAAAGTGTGTGTGTATGGGGGGGGGGGGTGGATAAGGAGGAAAAGAAATGGCCAAAATAGATCAGAGAAAGTATAAGAGCTGGCTAAAAAGGCCTTCCATGATCTAGTTCAAGGTTCTCCTTTTATAGATCAGGAAACTATGACCCAAAGAGATGAAAGCCCATCAACAGTATCCTCCGATGTCATAAAGACTGAGAAAGATGAAGGAGGTTCAGGTTTTAGACCTCCTTTCTTTCTAGTTCAGTTCACTTTCCACCATCTTTTTCTTCACCACTCTTCAACTTCCATCACATCACACCTCGCTTCAAGGGTCCACAGGGAATGCTAGTATCTCAGCAGTTTACCAAAAGAAAAAAACATTATCTTTAAGCACCTAAATCTTTTTTAGTAAAATGAATTTATGTGAAATGCTCAGTTATAACATGGGTAAGAACAGAGTGGCTCTGACTGAAGTCTAAGTGGGAGCGCTGAAGGCCCTGCTCCCAGAGCAGCCAAGGAAGGGCACCTCTGTAGAGCCCAGTTTGAAAACTTCCCTTTTTTCATCATCACTTCTATCCACTCTAGCACGTCACCCACTGACAGCATCTCAATAACCTCATTTCTCAACACGTGCCCCGCCCCCGGGGGTCCCTTTATGACAGCTAATCTGTCTTCTTTCTTCTCCATAGTTAATATCCCCCATATATGGATCCTCGTGCTGCTTCCTACACCTGCTCTTCAAATAATTATGTCTCTTCTTCTCTAAAAACACGTCCCTTGCCACCTTCAAAATGATTACCATAATTTTCCTCTTCAAACATACCATCTCCTAGGCATTTACGTATTCAATTTGAACAACATAAAAGGGCTACCATAAAAATGTCACTAATATGGCCTAACTGAGCCAGAGTGGAGAAGAGGGTAGAAACAGATGGATAGCTAACTTACATTGTTAACAAAACAATAAATTATAAATTATAAATTATGTGAGATAACTACTTATTTCTAAGTGGAGATCCTGGCAGGACTATTTTGGTAAATAGGTAGGACTTGTCTACAATAGGTGCTAATGGTAGATTACTGAAGTTACTGCTAACCCTCCAGGTTAGAAAGCTATTTACAAACATATTATTCATCTATTTATACAGTCCTTACTTGTCAAATCATCTCATGTTGACAAATTAACTAAGGAAGAGCCTTAGCTAAAGATAACATAGCTCCATTCAGTGGGATCCCACAATGTCAAGTCTATGCTCATTCAAGCTTCGGCTCTGTAGTAAAGAATCCTCATGTAGGACTGAGTTTTCTACTCATCCTGTAATAATTCTCATCACTGGGTACCCAGTTTGAATTCAAATTTAGTCTGCAGGAAAAGAGATAGCATTTTGCAACCACAAAGGGCTTGAAAGTAATGTGATTAAGACGGATTCCTAGCTTTTTGATTTAGCGTTTTTCTATAGGAAACTATTTAGAAGAATATAGTATACAGGAGCAGTGACAAATTTTAGAATAAAGAATAAATAAAGAATAAAAACACAGGAAGTTTTTTATAAAGGTGAAAAAAATTGAAGACTGGCTTTTTCAGAAATATACCTCAAGACAAATGTAGCAGATTCCATGACAAGCATTTGCTAAAAAAATTCTGTAAAATATTGATGAAACTTAAAGTTGAATGATAAGCAAATCCATAATTTTGTCCCTAGCTGAAAACAACTCTCAAAGATAAAATCTGTTCAGTTTGACTGATGTTTAAAGTCAGGTGCTCTTGGGTATATAATTCCTTCTTCCAAAAAGAAAATTTTATATTTTGGAAATAGTGAAATAATTATAAATCACTCATAAATTTGAAAATGAAACATTTTATATTAAATAGTTTAAGTCAAGTGACCTTTTAAAAATAAATTGCTTTAATGCTCTCTGACATAGGCTTTAAAAAGGTATAATTGGAAAGTTAATAATAAATCTTACTCATAATATAAACACTAAACTCCTAGTCAAAATCCTGAAGAATATACACTGTGCAGCCTACCTGGTCTATTCTGGATGTTCCGGCTGCAGTGCACCAACTATCTTGGAGTGAATCTGAGCCCCAAGCTGGTAACTGCAAACTAGATCTCACCTTCAATAGCATAGAAGTTTTCATCAGAAATAAGCAGTTCTCTTCCCCACACCCACCCACAAAAAATAAAAAAAATAAAAAGAAAGAAAGAAAATAAAACAATCAAAGTTCCTTCTATCTTGTATCTTTGGCCCTCTGAAGGTCTCAGGAGAAAAAAAAAAAAATCTCATTGTAAATAGCTTTATTAGACTATAATATCAATAAAACATTTTAAAAGGCCTGAAAAAGTGTCTAACCATCATAACTATTAAGCCACATTTAGGAAAAAATAGTCCCTAAACCAGTGAAGGCAAATTTTAATTGGATGTAAAAAGTCTTAATATTATTTTGCCATAATCACAGCTGTACTAGGTATATTTTAATATACACACAGCTGATCACAGTCAAGCCTATGCGCAATTGCTTAACATTTTAGTTTAGTGATATTGGAGGAGAAACTCATTTTGGTGGCCTATTAAACATTAATAAATTAAGGCATTCTTGAGCTGCCAATTAAAAGCTTCAATATGCACTGGAGAAACACAGCAGGTTTTTCTACATTTTAGGAAGCTTCTTTTCTACCGTGTGTTTAGAGAATTTTTTACAGTATCCATTTTCTCTATCCTTTTGTATTTTGCCCTTAAATGAATGCTTAAAATCAGAAATTTTTTTATTTTTTAATCTGTCAGTTTTACCATACCACCACCACCACCACCACCCAATTTCTTGTTTTGAAAGATCAACTTAGAAATAAGACCATTTACATACCATTCTTACCTGTAAGGGTAAGAGTGTATTACTATTGTTGTCGGTTCTGAACACGTTATCTTCAATCCAAGATTTTGGAGTCAGTGATGGAGTAGAGCGAGTAAATTTCGGTGGTGCTATGACATTACCAGAAAATGGTTTCTTCAATGGAGATATCTGATTCATAGTTCCTGGAATCCCCATGTTTCCAGTTCTACGATGGTCTCTGCCGTGCATTGCTCCCCACGACACGCTTCCAGTGCCCCAGCCACTGCTCTGATGGTTGCTCCAAGGAGATTGTTTCAGAAGAGGCTGAGAAAAACACGCATGTTTAAATTACAGGCATTTAAAGAGTTTACAATTCAAACTAAAATTTAGGCCTGAGCTAAGAATATATATATAATCTTAAAAAAAAAAATCTCTAAAGGCAATAAAGCATAGCTTAACAGTTTACGAAAAGTAATAGGTTTGTGATCTTGCTGTTTGAAAACATACTCATTTCCTCCTAGGTGAGTTTTCATCGTCTGGTCCACTATAAATTATAATGAATCGAGCAGATATTTCATGACAACTGCTAAAATAGAACCAGGCAGTTACATTTCTGTCCTTTCAGAATCGTGTATGGAAGAAGAAAAAAATAGTTTAAAATTGAAATTAACTTCGAAGGTCCTTGAAGATAGAACCGACATTGTGATCTTAAAACAACCACATTCTACTAGGCATACAAGTAAAAATCCGGTCTTTAATTAATAGATAGGAGTAACAATCGGAGTAAGATATTTAGACCTTAGCTTTCCAAAACCAATGGCACTGCTACAAAAGTGAATAATGGTAATAACATTTGCTGTTACTGTCTTGCATGAACTAAAAACGCCTTTCAGGATAGGGAGTGTATGGAAAATATGTGGGTTTGGTTTTTTCTTTTTCTTTTTTTTTTTTTTTTTTTGTATCGCGTATTCAACTTTTAAGATATTTTACTCCAATTCTAATGTAGTTTCTTTTAAAGTGTTTTTGTTTTTCTTTCACTTAATTATCCGTGAACTGTTAGGCAATTATCTGATGTTACCCATAGGTGGATCCACTGAGATATACTGAAGAAAAACAACTATATGCTTTGATTATTCTAGTAGAGATCTTCATACAAGTCTCCAGTAACCTCATTCATTTTCAAAAATAAATTCTATTCCAAACTAGAACCTATGATACAAAAAGTTCAGTCGCCAAAGAATGGACAATTCAGCACAAGGCAATAAGCGTAGGTTTTTGAAAAATACTAATTGCTAGCAATTACATTGCCAAGAAGCTTGCCCTAACGCTTAGCCAAAGGAAGTATGGACCATGCAGCTGCTCTAAGTCAGTAAGTTACTGTAAGTCAAGAATTCTTCAAATGAAACCTGCTTCTTGTAAGACAGCTTTCTCTTTTTGAGAGAACTTGACCCCTAGTACCTATTAAAAAATTTTTTTAAATGCCCAGATAATCATGAATATATGCTGCCATTCGCCCTCCCCACGGTTCAAAAGCATAGCTGGGGGGAGTGAAGAAATCACTCCATTCTTGAGGGCCTTACTTTCCTTGCTGACACAGGGTTCAAGTTCTCTTCCAGAGATCTACAATTCCACAGGGCAGCTGTGTGACCTCTTAAACTTCACTGGGAGAACCATCTTCTGACAAGACGTAGATCAGTTAAATACGAACCACCCTACGTGGTCTTCCAATGGCCGAGAGCAGGGCTCCAGGAGCACAAAAGCACCTATCAATAGTTTTCTGTGGCAAGTTCCCAGCGGAAAAAACCCAACACCCTGACACACAGGACACGGCTGCTCGAGACTGTGAAAATCATGGGAAAGCGGACTATTATTGCAAAATGACGTGTTTTCAATCCTTGTAGGCCACGTTCTTCCTCCTCGGGGAGACACCGGGGACTCGAAAGAAAGACTGTTAACTGTTACTCTAATTTCAGAGAACTCTCAACTTGTTACTTTGGTCAGACAGCATTCGCCCTTTAAAAGGTTAACCTTGGAAAACTTTAACTGGTCAATGGAAAAAGTTACAGGAGTAAGTAAGCACCGGTTAAGGTCCAATTCTGCTTCTGTCTCAGTCCTTGATCACGAAAATGACCTTAAACAAACGAATCACTACAGGAAATGCTGACTGGATCAAAAAAGGACAACAAAATACGCTTTTCGATGTCAATGAACCAAAGCCGGCGGTCATTCAAACGTTGTACTGGGAAGATAACAAAACGGAGCCTGAATCGGAAAGGACCCGGATGAATAAAAAAAAAAAACAAAAAACAAAAAAAACAAAAAAAACAAAAAAACCCCGGCCCCGTGTTATTTCATAATTGCATTACCCACTCAAAATATACACACCCCGTAACCCAAGAGACGGTCAAGGCCGCCAAAAAACGTGAGTCCCCCCTGCGAGGTATCACACGATTCCCGGATTCAAGTTTAGTTTTGGCCTCACCAGCCACCAAACCGTCCCCAAACGCGAAGAGGCGCAGAAAGCCAGCGGCTCGCGGAGCACCTCGGCAGAGGCGGACGGAGCCGCCGCGGGCAGGCTCCCCTCTCCCGCCGCCTGACAGCTCAGCGCGGGGCCCCGGGCGCGGCGGGCGGCTCGTCCCGGCCGGGCCACCGCCACCCCCGGCCAGACCTCGCGCGGGCCGACTCGCAACGAGACGGACTCGAAAGGAAAAAGCCTCTCCTTTCCGCCCGTCCCCTCATTGGACGACGGGGAAGAGTCACCGGCTCCCCGCACGCACCGTCTGCGGCGATCACGACCCTCCTTCGCAAGTTCGCTTCCCCAGGCCGCTCGTCCGAGGCTGCCGCCCCCGCGTCCCCCGGCCCGTCCTCGAGGATCGCCGACAGCGGTCCTCCGGGTCGGGGCGCCCGCTGGGGGGGGCGGGGTGGCCGCCGCCGCCGCCGCCGCCGCCCTCGGTCCCCGGCGCCATTCGGCCGCTGCCCCAACCCCC